GAGAGATTCTAATCCAAGGGTCTGGAAAGGCACACACTAGTGTATCTCCTGCCTTCTGGTTTTCATACTCGATGGCAGCAGCAACATTTGGATTGCAAAGATGAAATAATGAAAGCTGTTTGTGTTGAATTTAATCCCAAGCATTCCCGTTGGTTTTATGGCTTCTGAAATGAAGTTTGTAGTTCTTTTTAGCTGGGCCAAGTTTAACCTTATGTTCCCATTTATCTGTTTTGCTGGTCTTCTAAATAGCGGATCTGAGATGGCAAATTCATGTTTCATGGAAACCGAACTAATGGCTGCTGTGGAAAGGAACTTGATATCAATCTGGATGGTGTAGATCACGCGCGCAAAGAAAAAATATGCTGAGAAAAATCTTGATGCATCCGCATCAGATGCATAACAGAGCCACCTCCAAACACTGTATAAATAGCAAGTCTCAACCACAGATACCATCCACGCCCCTTCCCATCATTTTGGATGAGTATGCCACCGCATATTCCCAACAAAAATATAACTGAAAAAGTTGACAAATACATGGGACACGCAGCACTTGAAAGACTCGTGCTTACTTGTAGACACGAAACAGCCTCCCTTCAGAATTATGAAGACCAGATTTTTTTTCGGAGCTGAACTTCAAAGCTCATCAAGTATCGACGTGTCTCCGCAGCCCTTTCTCGGGCGCGGGCTGCTGCCGAGGGAGCGAGCAAGCCCTCTTCTCATACGGAGGGTCCCTGGTGCAAAGCCCTGGGTTGTCTCATCCTTGCAGGACAGAGCACGGAGGGTGTCTGCCCACGCGGTGACGCGGCTCTGATGCAACGCCTGCGTGGGTCAGCTAAGGTCTGCAGAGGCCTTGCGACCTCGGGAGCGTGCCTCAGGGGGCCTGCAAGTGTGAGCTGTTCGCAGCGAGAGCACAGTGCTTCGACGTGAACACATGTGGGTCTGTAGCCATCTTCCAGTGCTTCTGCGTGGCAGGGGGGTCTGTAGCCATCTTCCAGAAGTTCTCCACAGCAGATAGGTCGAGCCATTTTGCAATGCTTCTCCATGGTGGATGGGCCTGTAGGCATCTTCCAGTGCTTCTCCATGGCAGCTGGGTCTGTAGCCATCTTCCAGAAGTTCTCCACAGCAGATAGGTCTAGCCATCTTGTAATGCCTCTCCATGGTGGGTGGGTCTGTAGCCATCTTCTAACAATTCTCTGCGGTGGGTGGGTCTGTAGCCATCTTCCAACAATTCTCCACAGCAGATAGGTCTAGCCATCTTGTAATGCCTCTCCATGGTGGATGGGTCTGTAGCCATCTTCTAACAATTCTCCACAGTGGGTTGGTCTGTAGCCATCTTCCAATGCTTCTCCATGGCAGGTGGGTCTGTAGCCATCTTCCAACAATTCTCCACAGAGGATAGGTCTAGCCATCTTGTAATGCCTCTCCATGGTGGGTGGGCCTGTAGCTATCTTCCAAGACTTCTCCATGGCAGGTGGGTCTGTAGTGATCTTCTAACAATTCTCCACAGTGGATGGGTCTGTAGCCATCTTCCAATGCTGCTCCATGACAGATGGGTCTGTAGCCATCTTCCAAAAGTTCTCCACAGAGGATAGGTCTAGCCATCTTGCAATGCTTCTCCACGGTGGGTTGGTCTGTAGCCATCTTCCAGTGCTTCTCCATGGCAGGGGGGTCTGTAGCCATCTTCCAGAAGTTCTCCACAGCAGATAGGTCGAGCCATCTTGCAATGCTTCTCCATGGTGGATGGGCCTGTAGGCATCTTCCAGTGCTTCTCCATGGCAGCTGGGTCTGTAACCATCTTCCAACAATTCTCCACAGAAGATAGGTCTAGCCATTTTGTAATGCCTCTCCATGGTGGGTGGGTCTGTAGCCATCTTCCAACAATTCTCTGCGGTGGGTGGTTCTGTAGCCATCTTCTAACAATTCTCCACAGTGGCTTGGTCTGTAGCCATCTTCCAGTGCTTCTCCATGGTGGATGGGTCTGTAGCCATCTTCTAACAATTCTCCATGGTGGGTTGGTCTGTAGGCATCTTCCAGTGCTTCTCCATGGCAGGTGGGTCTGTAGCCATCTTCCAGAAGTTCTCCACAGCAGATAGGTCGAGCCATTTTGCAATGCTTCTCCATGGTGGATGGGCCTGTAGGCATCTTCCAGTGCTTCTCCATGGCAGCTGGGTCTGTAACCATCTTCCAACAATTCTCCACAGAAGATAGGTCTAGCCATTTTGTAATGCCTCTCCATGGTGGGTGGGTCTGTAGCCATCTTCCAACAATTCTCTGCGGTGGGTGGTTCTGTAGCCATCTTCTAACAATTCTCCACAGTGGCTTGGTCTGTAGCCATCTTCCAGTGCTTCTCCATGATGGATGGGTCTGTAGCCATCTTCTAACAATTCTCCATGGTGGATGGGCCTGTAGCCATCTTCCAGTGCTTCTCCATGGCAGGTGGGTCTGTAGCCATCTTCCAGAAGTTCTCCACAGCAGATAGGTCGAGCCATTTTGCAATGCTTCTCCATGGTGGATGGGCCTGTAGGCATCTTCCAGTGCTTCTCCATGGCAGCTGGGTCTGTAACCATCTTCCAACAATTCTCCACAGAGGATAGGTCTAACCATCTTGTAATGCCTCTCCATGGTGGGTGGGTCTGTAGCTATCTTCCAAGACTTCTCCATGGCAGGTGGGTCTGTAGTGATCTTCTAACAATTCTCCACGGTAGATGGGTATGTAGCCATCTTCCAATGCTGCTCCATGACAGATGGGTCTGTAGCCATCTTCCAAAAGTTCTCCACAGCAGATAGGTCGAGCCATCTTGCAATGCTTCTCCATGGTGGATGGGTCTGTAGCCATCTTCTAACAATTCTCCACGGTGGGTTGGTCTGTAGCCATTTTCCAATGCTTCTCCATGACAGATGGGTCTGTAGCCATCTTCCAAAAGTTCTCCACAGCAGATAGGTCTAGCCATCTTGCAGTGCTTCTCCATGGTGGATGGGCCTGTAGCCATCTTCCAGAAGTTCTCCACAGCAGATAGGTCGAGCCATCTTGCAATGCTTCTCCATGGTGGATGGGCCTGTAGCCATCTTCCAGTGCTTCTCCATGGCAGGTGAGTCTGTAGCCATCTTCCAAAAGTTCTCCACAGCAGATAGGTCTAGCCATCTTGCAATGCTTCTCCATGGTGGATGGGTCTGTAGCCATCTTCTAACAATTCTCCACGGTGGGTTGGTCTGTAGCCATTTTCCAATGCTTCTCCATGACAGATGGGTCTGTAGCCATCTTCCAAAAGTTCTCCACAGCAGATAGGTCTAGCCATCTTGCAGTGCTTCTCCATGGTGGATGGGTCTGTAGCCATCTTCTAACAATTCTCCACGGTGGGTTGGTCTGTAGCCATCTTCCAAGGCTTTTCCAACAGCTGTGGCTCTCAGAGTTTGGTGATCTCTGAAAAGAGGCTAGGTTGCAGCATGCACATGCTTGTTTCAGAGTGTGTTGCTCTTTCAGAGCCTTCCCTTGGATCTGTGCCTGGCAAATAGGAGGATTTAACATCTGATAGAGCTGGTATAGACTTGCCTCGCGTTTTTAAAGCATGTTTATGTGTTGCTACTTGACAGGCTTCAGCTCTAACTCTTGATTTCATGAACTTGCTCAGTTATGACACCTAAATAAGTCCGTTCCAGCCCCATTTCTTTCTTGCAATGATGACCTCCTGGCAGCATCCCAGCAAGAGCATATTTAAAAGTAGTTATAGCCCATACTCTTACTGCGAACATGTCCGGGAGAGGATGAACTGACTGTTTCCATGCAAATTTGATGATGTGACCTCACCTGGGCATATATAAACTCTGTGTGTATTTACTGACATGCAGGTTGGTGCATCTGTAAAGGCAGAAACAAGTCAGCGCTGGTGTGCGGAGTGGCCGTGGAGGGGATGGCTTCAAAAGGCTTATGCAGAATGACTCAAGTTAAACAATATATATAGAAAACATCAACAGTCAAGTTTTTTTCTAGCAGGGCCAATGTAGCTACACTTCAATTTTTAAATTTTATTTTTAAAGGAACTTTGTGTAGTGTTTTCTTCTTACTGTAGGGACCCTGGCTTATCTTTTAAGAGCAGAAGATCCTTGTTGTGGGCAATTTTGAAGCAACTTGTACTTTTGGTGATGCATTTTGACTTTTCCCAGCAGTGCCTGTCCCTGCCTCCTCCTTTCCCGTCCCACCCAAAGACCTCTGCAATCCTTTTGTTTCTTTCATTTGACATCTCTTCAGCAGAACACCTCTTTGTTAAGGGGCCTGTTCTAGACCTTTTCATTCAAGACGCTGGGCTTCAATGTTTACAGATGGTGAACCTACAGCCATAAGAAACCTAAGGTTACATTGATAGATGACTTCTGCTATCCCGCCCAAATGAATGAAATGTACCGTTCGTTGCATGGTCTCTCCTTTATACAGGTTCATCTAACCATATACAGTTGTATACTTCATCTTTTTTTGGTTTTCTGTAACTAAGCACTATTTCAATGTTGATTTAAAGCAAATACTGTGATGCAATGTAGTTGTTTCCTGACGCAGAGGGACCTATTGCACACCCTTGTGTTACCTGCAGGTCTGCGTAGAAGCCTGTCTTATTGTCCCCCACCAACCCACAGGGAAGAGGCTGCTGGATTGCTTCTTGGCTTACTGTTTGTCTCTGCAGCTGTCTAGGTTCCAGTTTTATGTGAATTATTGTTTCTGATGCTATATGAATAAACAATGCTCTTCACCCACGACTGTACCATAAGCTGTAAGTCATACGTTAGAAAGACATCAGACCTCAGCACAATTTCTTTCTTCTCTACTAGAGAGGAGGTAAATGTTTTGAAAAAGGTAATTTGACCTGTATTGTTTGGAATGCAAAAATTTCTATTCCCCTCCATAGCCGTGTGCCTCTCAGAGGTCCCTGCAGTGTCTAGACGCTCTCCCACCTTTCTGACGTTCTGTACCATTCCTCTCTAACAAGCCTGCTGTCTCTTTATTCTTGCAGAAGAAAATGCAGAAATTACCCTGGATGTGTCATTAGCGTACCGTGATGACATGTTTGCTGATTGGGAAGAAATAGCACATGCAATAGAGATCAGGAAGCTGAAATGCACCTTTGGCTCACCAAAAGTAAGGTGTTTTGATGACGCGGGAGGTGTGGGAGTGCGGTGGGCGTTCTCCTCTTCCTTTCCTTCACAGAGCTTCCAAGAAGCTGAGTTGTTCAGTCATAACTTTCAAGCATGCCCATTTTCTCTTGGCTCAAAATCTTTGAAAACCTGATGGGCTCCACATGCAATTGGATCTGTTTGGTGATACAAGAGATGGGGATGAAGTCAGAGGTAGAGTTAAAACCGTAAGGAAGAAGAGGTGTGAGGTGGTGCAGAGATGTTGTCTGGAACTCGAGTACTCTGAGGTCTATAAACCCCCAAACTGCCCTAAAAAGCTTGGACTTTTCCATCTTGTGCTTCTGTGATGGACGAAACCTTGTTCTTCAGGAGTGGCAAGGAAATAGCCCACCAGGGACACTGCAGCACTCAAAGAACCTGGAGAGCTGGGGCAAGAGTTTATCAAAATAACCTCTTAATGCCTCAAGCTACAAAGCTTAGGAGCAGAGAGCAAGCTAGCGGTTGAGAACGGAGCATCTTGATTAAAGAAAGATGTTTCTTCTTGTGCTGCAGAATGTAATTCACGTGCTTAAATTAATCTGGTGTCTCTTTACCATGCCATGGTTTTAGGCTCCGTGTCTCATTCTCCCATTTCGCAGCCCCTTTCAGCAACTCACTTTTGTCTCCAGTAACACCTGTACTCTTCCATACAGCCACATATACCCAGCAAATACATACGAGGTGCAGAGGGGAATATTGCTAGTAAAACAGGAGTTAGGGAACTCCACGTAAAGACACGTCCGAAGGGGTTGCATATTTTGTTTTGCCTCAAGTTGTGCTCGCTGAGGGGGGGGAACGTTTGGATCCCAAAGTAGTATTTGATCTTGAAAGGCTCCTGTGACTCAAGCGCATTTAACAGCCTGATACGTGAACCTGCTCGAGTTCAAACCCCGCTGACTCGATGACCCAAGACGACCAAAAACTTGAGCAAAATTAGTCCCCAGGCCGGTGATGTTCTCCGGACTTGCACAGACTGTCTGCAGGCGAAGGCTGGAATTAGCAAGCTGGCTCCCGGTGCCAGCAGCGGTCCCAGCTCTGTTCAGCGTTAGGGCTTTTGCAGACCCTCGCTGTGGGGGCCCGAGGCTGACCGCTGCGTTGCTGCTCTCTGCCCTTTCGCTAGACCCTGGAGTCTGAAGGCCGTCACTACGATTGTGATTTCCTCCCCTTCATGGAGATCGGCAGCGTGGCCCACAAGTACTACCTCATCAACATCCGTCTCCCCGTGAACGAGAGGAAGGGCGTTAACGTGGGCATCGGGGAAATCAAGGATATCCGCCTCGTGGTAAGTGTCTGTCCTGCTTCCAACCACCAGGTCTGCCCCGGGGGGTTGCTGCGGCTCCTTTCGTGAGCTCTTGGATCCACAGCTAGGTCCTGCTCTGCATCACTGTTGTGGTTTGGGCCTGATGGGCAACCAACCCCCGCAGCTAATCACCCTCCCGTCCCCCTCCCCACCTGGGAATGGGGGAGGGATTAGAGGGGTGAAGGGAGACTCGCAGGCTGAGGTAAGAACAGTTTAATAATGGCAATAAAATGAGAACAATAATGATGATGGGGAAAACAAAAAGAGATATATAAACAGGTGATGTACAGCGTAATTGCTCACCACCCACTAACCAATATCCAGCCCGTTCCCGGCCAGCGACCCCGAGATACCAAGATCCCACAATCGCAATCCCGGGAGAGAGAGAGCCCCTTCCCAACCACCCCTCCTTTATATAGTGAGCATGACGTGCCATGATATGGAATATTTCCCTGGCCAGTTTGGGTCAGGTGCTGCGGCCGTGCTCCCTCCCTGCTCCCTGTGCCCTTGCGCACGGGCAGGACATGGGGAGTCGGAGAGTCCTTGAAGTCTCGGCAGCAGCTGAAAACATCAGTGTGCTGTCAGCATTCTTCCCATACCAAACCCAAAGCTAAATCCAAAACACAGCACTCATCTAGTCCCTGAAAAGGAATATTAACTCTATTTCAGCCCAAACTAAGACAATCACGGGGAGCTCCTGCCTGCAAATGTGGCTCTCCTCCTCCCCGAGGGAGGCCCTCTTTGACTGCTCTCTTCCCAGGAGCCTTGAGCCTCCTGCACTGCCCTGTGACCACCTGCACGCCGGGCTCTTCCCGTGGCTCCGAGAGGTCCCTCCCCGCCGCGGTCTGCTTTGGGTGCCCGTCCTCCACCTGGTTGCACCCTGCCCCTTGCAGGCAGGAGCCGAGGAGGAACAGAACAGCAGGGTCCAGAAGGGACCTGCTCCCTCACAGCTGGCTACGGCCATCCAGATGTTTGGGGTGGCTGTCAGCTCTCCCTGCTCCTGCCCTCCCTTGAGGCTTGGTGGCCATGGGTGCTCCCGGCTGGAAAACCTCTCAGCACCCTCCCTCTCGGCAGAAGCAGCGAGCCAGCCGGCTGTGGTGGCCGCAGACGGCGGTGGGAGGGCGTGTGTCTGGAGAAATGCATTAATTTGGCTGATGCCTTTCCCACCCGTGGTGACTTAGCTTCGTGAGTATCTTGTTACTTGTCTGAGAGCAATTCTTTTTCCACGCTGTGTCAGAGCGCCCCCGCTCTCGACTGCTCTCCACCTCGCAGTGGGAGCTCCGTGTGTTGCCATTTGTTTTCAGGGCTTTGGAAGCCCGTTCAGATGGCCTGGGTGCTAAGTAGGCACCCGCTCCCTTTCCTGTGTTGGACAAACAACACCTATCAAAGAGTAATTGCGTTTACACATGCTGCCATGCACGTGCTTCTCCTGTCAGCCCCTGTGAGGAGGAGCACGGAGGAACGGTGTTAAGCCCCGTACAGCTCTTGCATTCCACCTTGTTTTTTTTTTTTTTCCTTAGGGCATCCATCAAAACGGAGGCTTTACAAAAGTGTGGTTTGCCATGAAGACCTTCCTCACCCCCAGCATTTTAATTATCATGGTGTGGTACTGGAGACGGATCACGCTGATGACACGCGCTCCCGTGCTGTTGGAGAAGTGAGTAGGGGCTCGCACGCTGCCTGAGGTGACCCTCAAGCAAGAGGACCCTGACCGAGGTGGTCGCTGCTCCCAAGCAGAGCCAGTATTTGGGCAGGCAGGGATGGCCTCTTCTCTGTCCCCTCCCTCCATCCAGGCACACGAGCTCCCAGGAAACCTCCATAGCTTCTCTTTTCTTTCCCATTAAACCCACGGAGAACGAGTAGCTGCGTTTGCCCATGGCTGCTCAGAGGGGCTTAGCCCTAGAGGGTTTGCTGGCAGGAGTCGACACCCCACCACTGCTGCCCAAACACCTCCAGATTTTTTTTCTGCTGCTCTTCACGCACAACTTTACCTTCTGGGGCTCCGTGTCCTTGCAAACTGGAAAGAGATGGTGTTTCTGCCTCTCCAGGGTCATCTTTGCTCTGGGAATTTCCATGACGTTCATTAACATCCCCGTGGAGTGGTTTTCCATCGGATTTGACTGGACTTGGATGTTGCTCTTTGGAGACATTCGACAAGGCATTTTCTATGCCATGCTCCTGTCGTTTTGGATCATCTTCTGTGGAGAGCACATGATGGTGGGTACGATGCAGAAGGGAAGGTGGCTTCCAGCCCCGCTGGCAGAGCTATCTGGCAGCTCCCTTGTTGAGTGTCGGACACGATGCAGTGTGGACTTGCACCAGGCGAGGGGACTTCAGGCTAACTCGCTTTTCCTTTTTCTCCTCCTCCACCTCCTGACCCTCTGATTAGGACCAGAACGAGCGGAATCGTCTCTCAGGGTACTGGAAGCAGGTTGGACCCATAGCTGTTGGCTCCTTCTGCCTCTTCATCTTCGACATGTGTGAGAGGTAGGTGCAGCGCTAGCTCCCGGGGCGAGCCCTCCCCTCGGAGCAGAGGCTCCCGGCCACGTCCCGCAGCGGGGACCAGGCTCAGCCCCCACGGCTGGATGCACAGCCCCATCCCACGAGGCGAGGAGAAGCTCCTGTGAGTGCTCTTTGGAGCACGCTGGCACGTCGCAGCAGCGTATCTTAGCCCGTACGGTCATAAAAAAAACCCCCACTTCCCACCTTGTCTCCTCCTCACCCACGCGGGAAAGCGCTCTGAGCCCTGCTTTTTCTCTCCTCTTTGCAGGGGGGTGCAGCTGAAGAACCCCTTCTACAGCATCTGGACCACCGAGGTTGGCACCGAGCTGGCTGTATCCTTCCGCCCAGCCCGGGGGCAAGGGAGGTGTTCCCGTCCTGCCCAATACCTGTGGGGTGTGGGGAACCCCCCCCTCCTTTTGGCAGACTGGCGGGGGGGGGGGCTCAGGCACTGCGGGAGATGCTGGTGTCGTTTGGAAGATGCAGTCCTCCTGGCAGGTTTTGGTGCTGGGTCACCACCACTGGTGCTGTGCTTGGGGAAGTCACCGGAGAACGGAACCTCTCTGCAGGATGTCGGAGAAGCGAATTTGCCTGAATAACGTTTTCTATTATTTCTGTTTAGCTCATACCGTTTTCTCTTAACCTACGCTGCTCAGATGGCCTTTATTATAGTCGCAGGAATCTGCTTGTGTCTGTATTTTCTCTTCCTGTGTTTTATGGTGTTTCAAGTGTTCAGAAATATCAGTGGAAAGCAGTCGAGCCTCCCAGCCATGAGCAAGGCTCGCCGCCTTCATTACGAGGTGATGTCTCTCCTTGTTGCCCAGATTCTTTATTTTTAAAATGCATTTTAGACCTTAAAGTCTATACTGAGACCTCCTCTATCCATATAGTCCTGAAGTGGAAGATCTGCTCTTTATCAGCTTTCTTGTGTTGCTCGGATCCCCCACCTGCCTTTTTGTTTGATGTTGTGAAGTTTCTTCTTTATTTGGGTCTTTAGTCCCGACGAAGTATTTTAAACTGTCAGGAGGGGTATGTAAGCTAACTCTGCTTTCTTATGAGTAGTTGCCATCTCCCATCTTACCAAACAGTGTTGGAAGATGGAAGAAAATTGCCCAAATTACCATTTAAATCCCCATACCTCTGTTTCTCCTCCTGTAATAATATTACTGAGTTTAATAGAAAGTATTGCTAAGACCATCCTGGTTTTCCATGGTGTGAATTCAGATTTCTGGGGTTGCCTTTTCCTAACAAAGTTGCGGGAGGGAAACTGTCCTGCTAGGATCAAAATGCGACACACTCAGCCCATTATCCCCGGTTTTAGCCCATGATTTTGGATGTTGTTTCTGTCCTAGCTGTCTTCAGCTGCTGCAAAACACGAGGAGCTCACTTTAAGTGCTTAAGCTGAGAGTACCTGTTGTTTCCATGGGTGTGTAAATATTTATCACCAATGTTGTTCTGTTAAATGATGGTTGCTTCTGATTTAAACAAGTCCATTACCACCTATCAGGAATGCACATAAAAACCCCAGAAAATTGGACTTGAGAGAATTTGAAGATGTTGAGCATTTTTTTCCATCTTTCCCTTTAGCAAGAGGCACAGGACTTCAGGTTGTATCATAGAGCTGTTGCTCTACATAAAAACATCTGGCAAGCATGAATCTGATCTGGAGGAGTTAAATTAATAGTCGTTTGTTGTCGCAGTGTGGCATAGTAATTACGCACACACGCTTGACATTTCCACCAAAATTCCAGAAACGGGTTAAAAAAAAAAACCCCAACACACACAAAAACAAAACCAAAAGATTTGTAAGTAAAAATGTAAAGCTAGTGAAAGCAAGTATGGTGTGCGCTCAGATTCCCAACCAAGTGATCCCGAGCCTTAGTTTGTCTTATAATCGACAGTCTTCTGGCCAGTGTAGTTTTGAGAGGCGTTGAGAATCGCTGCAGTTTGCTCCCAGACAGACCCTGGAGGTGAGGATTAGTCTGGTGCAGACCCGGTACCCACTGCAGAAACCCCGGCTCGTCTCGCGAAGCCGTGCAAGCTCTCCACGCCTGTTTGTTTCACAAAAGCTACAAGCGATCAGGCTGGCTCCTAGTGAAAGGCATGGCCTAACGCTGACCTGCCTCCTCTTTCGCATTAACTCTCGGTAAAATCAGTCACAAAAGCAAATGTAATGGAAAGCCAGAGCTGTCCAGACATGCACACCCCGCTCGGAGCATCCGGGAGGAATGCAGACGTGTGGGGAGCGGAGAATATGGGCTGTCGTGAAGACGGCGCAGAGGAGTGGGTGGAGGTTGTTTTGCTTTGGGGTTTCGTGGGTTGGACCCTTTTTTTTTCTTTTTTTTTTTATACTCGTGTCTTGTATATACTAAAAACAAAAATGGGTTTTTGTGGATTCTGTTAATGTGACCAGTGACATTTCTCTCTAAACAGGGGCTGATTTTTAGGTTCAAGTTCCTGATGCTCATTACCCTGGCTTGTGCGGCGATGACGGTCATCTTCTTCATCGTGAGCCAGGTGAGTGACGAAACCTGGCTCCCCCTGGGAGCATCAGCCCCCGATTCCCTAGCCGCTAAAGATGGCTGGCTTGCCGTTCAGACAAGGCGTGCCTGTTATAAGCAGGTTTGATAATAACTCGCTTTTTAAGAAGTTGTTTTCATTTACTTGAAGCACTGCCATAAAATTGCTCAGGGTGAAGCCTTCGCAGAGGCCTTTGGCTCCTGGTAAGGTTTGGGGTTGTGCTGTTTGAAACACCAGCCAACACGGTTTGGTCATTTCTGAGAACTCAGCCAGAGGAAAAATGTTCTGTTCACATTGAAAGAATCCGGTGGCTTTGTATGCCCACAGAGAATAACAGAATTCAATCTTCCCCGGGTTGGCTTTGCAACCCTGCTGTTTCCAGCAGCATTTATACCTATTTATTCTGAGCGGTGATGCCGTCTCTCTGTACGAATGAGTTTATGTTGCTGCTTAAATGTGCTTCAATGGTTTCCTCCAAGTGACTTCTAAGCTTGCATCTGTTTCAAAGGTGTCACTTCGGGTTGTGGCGAAGCCTAGGCAGGTTGGAGCCGCAGCAGAGCTGTGGGTACGGCCTCGCAAGCCCGGTATTACAGAATTATGGGTGCAGGGGCCGTTTCTCCCCCACTGCACCGCTTACGCTTTGGGGTACGTGGTGCAAAATACAGCAGCAGATGATTTTGCTCCTGAAAATCTGTTAGACTGAAGCCATGGTTTGAGGAATGTCGCTGGGCATTCAGTTCATTCTTGAGCGTTAATGACCATCGCTGGGTACGGGGGTAACGCAAACGGTCTTGTCCCAGCTACTCTTTTTAAGCTAGTTTAGCTTTCATCTTCCCCCTTTATGTCCTCTTCTTTAACAGAAAGCCAATGTTTCAGTGTGAACAGTCTGTGTATCTTCAAGTAATATTAATATTGATGATGTTTTCGTAAATCTTGGCAAATCTCTGTGTGTCTAAGGCTGATGCTGTCAGCCTAGGCCCCTCTCTTCAGACAGAAGCAGCGAGCAGGCATTCAGCACATTAGCTCTTTGCATTATTCATGCTGGTTTTCATTCTATAAAAGGTCTATTTATAGAAGTCTAATGTTTTCAGATGTAACTAGTTGTCTCCTAGGTACTGCCCTTTACGTGGCAATCTTTGCTGAACACATCAGTTATGGCAGGCATACATCGGAGCACGCGAGAGATTTTGTCACATGTAAGAATGATAAATCAAAGAAATCCCGATGCAGTCATTTTGTAAAGGCCATTTTTCCCCTGCAGATTGAGGCTACAGAGGAGAATCCTAGCCTGACTTGTACATCACTGAATCTTCCCTACTCCATTTACTCGATCCTGTTGAGTTGACGCTGTTCTTACTGATTTACTCCAAGTTAGTGCTTTAGGGGGTCACTTCTGTATTTTTACAGATTTTGGTCTCGCTGACGGACCCCTGCGTGTCTGCTTTCTCCCGGGCAGGTGACTGAAGGCCACTGGAAGTGGGGGGACATAACGATACAAGTGAACAGCGCCTTCTTCACTGGCATCTACGGGATGTGGAACCTCTACGTCTTCGCCCTGATGTTCCTGTACGCGCCGTCACACAAGAATTATGGTGAAGACCAGTCAAATGGTAAATGCCTCTAAACGTCCTGAAGGCTGTCACGGGAAGAAAACGATATAAAGTGGGTGATACCTTCTGTGCAGGTTTTTTTTCGCCGAAGTGCACATTCAACACCTTGAAACGTTACAGAAATTATGGTTTGGTTTCCCTAGCAGACATTTTAATTAATGACTAGGTTAGACAGGTTTGAGTATTTACCCAAGGCTGTCTAAAACCTTCCAGATGGTTTTTGTACTTTTTAGTACTGCCCAGTTGCAATTGCGTAGCTCAAATGGAGGAATGAGGAAAGGAGAAAATAGAAATCTGGGCATGTGGAGAATGGCTGTGCTGTTGGATTAATCCATCAGTAGTCTTCAGTAGCACGGAAATCCTCCTTTGCCTATATGCTTGTATTTAAGTAACCATAAATAAAAGCATTTATAGAAATGTTGCGTGGTCCATAGCTCAGGTGGCTGACGAAAGCCTGGAGGGAATAAAACCAGGTCTTCTGCTTTCGAATTGTCAAATCTTTTATTGTGAGACTGGGCTAACGAAATAACTTTGTTCCTCAGGTGACCTGGGAGTAAACAGCGGGGAAGAGCTTCAGCTCACCACCACCATCACGCACGTGGATGGCCCCACGGAGGTTTATAAGCTGGCTCGCAAGGAGGCTCAGGAGTGACGCTGAGGTGGCCTCAGCTGGGACCCACACCGGGGTGGAGAGCAGAGGACAACACAACGCCCTGGGGCAGGAGACCTCTCTGGCTTGCTTCTCGAGCACTCCGTACCTAGTGTATTTTGACAGAGCAGTGACACCGAGCAGAACATTTGTAAACTCTTTAATATGGTGTAGTTATTTCTGGGGGGAGGGATATGTATATTGTGTTACACTCAAGCGCATAAAAACCTGCTAGAAAAGCATTAAGGTTGCAAAGTCGCACGTTCAGAAGTTAGGAAGGGGCAGAGCTGGCACTGAGCAGTTTTTATTTGGCTGTCGTGTGCCTGTGCATAAAGGCGGTGCAGGGAGCTCAGTCGGGGAGCACGTGTTCAGCATTCCGAGCCTTCTTCTTGTGTGCAACTTTAAACAAGGTGTTGGTCGGGGGGAGGAACTAAAGCCTCGTTGCAAAAACATTTAATTCCACCCCCTATAATTGTACCGAGCGTTGTTTGAGGTCTTTACAGCCCTGCAACTCTGCAGGAAACCTCTGTCACTGGGATGAAACACAGCTGAGGAAGGGAGTAGACTGTGATAGGTAAGATTTTAGTAGAAGCAGCAACGGGCTTTCTCAGTCGGTTTTGCAGCTGTTTGTTAAGTCCGGGAGAATGTAAAAACGGGATGCCTGAGCTGGTTTGCAGGACAAAAGAGTGCTCCTGTCACGAGTCCCAGAGGCACCGGTCCCACAGCCAGCTCCTGCCCCTTCTCAGCCCCTTTGGCTTCCCTTACTTTTGTTGTCCTCCTCCACCTTACCTTTTTGTTACGGCTCGTTCATTTTTATGCTGCTTACGTGCCCTGGGGAGAAGAGAAAGGCCCGGGGAGGGGGGGACAGTGTGTTCTTGGTTCCGGTGCCCATCAGCTGGGCAGAGGATGCCGGGCAATCTCCGTGCGCTGCCGGGATGGAGCGGGCTGGGCAGAGATGGATTCTTCCTGGGATTATCGGATTTGAAAAAAAAAAAAAAAAAAAACCAAAACTGCTTGGCACTCACTAATGTGGATATTTGCTTTTCCAGAGCACAAGCAGGCGCTGAGGTCGCTTCACCCCTATGCTGGGCCTGGGTGAGTCTGGCAGTGAGGAGGTTGGCAGTTCGAGGGGAATGGGAACTGATCTGGGGTCAGGCATAAACTGGACTGTGCTGGGGACCAGTTAAGAGAAGTGTTAGTGGTGTGTGGGGGAAGAAGCATGGCTGGAGGGGTCTGTGCTCCTCCGGGCACACCTTCCAGGGGCTGGAGGATGCAGGGGGCCCTCGTCACTTGGAACTAGTAAATGTCTGTGTTAACTGCTAGTAACGCATAACTCAACCTCCCCAGCCCAGTTTTGTACCTAAAAGTTAAGAAGCTGCTGCTGCTGAAGCTTCCAAAGCCGCTGACGGGCAGTAACTGTGGGTACGGGTAGAATCACTGTCCTGGAAAAGGCGACACGTGGTCCTTGGGTTCTTAAAACTTTTGAAATTACACATCAATTGGTAGAGTATTAAGGCTGTAAAATGGAAGTATAACTGGGGAAGACCCGAAGTGAGATCACCTCTGAAGCTGTAATCCATCTCTAGCCGGTGTATGCGTTACGACGTGCAATTAAATCCTGCTGCCTGCTGCCGTTTCTGCCGCGCTCCGGCTTGCGTGCGGGGCTCTGGTTTGCACCAGGACGTGCTGGTTGCTCACGATTCCCACCCCAGCAAGCAGCTCGCTCGGGGTGACGCCGGTCCCTGGCTGCCCCGTGCACCCCCCAGCCCGCTGTCTGCACGGGCTGCAGCGCCGGGGGGGCTGCTCAGTTCCTCTCTAACCATCCCCATCACCATTCCAAGCGTGTTGGTGCACCAACTTTCCTTGCTTTTTGCTTTCCCTTCCCCGTATTTCCCGAGACAAGTCAATACTTCAGCTGGGGGGTGAGGTGTTCAAATAATTCCTCCTTACTCTCCCAGTCCCCCAGGGAACGGGGGCAGAAGGCTAGCGACTGCCCCTCGGCCGTGTGCGGGGCCGGCCGGGCACCCCATCTCCTCTCCAGCCTTTCCCCAGAAGGGATTTCTCACCGGGGCTGCTGACTGCACCAAATGAATCCCACCAGGAGCTGCTGGGCTGTTACGACCCCAGCGAGAGCGGCACTTTGTAAAGTAGCATTTAAAATACCATTTATTAGAGCTCAATGCTATAAAGAGAGAATAGCGTGGATGATCTCCATCCCTTTGGTTGGTGGGAGCCCGGAGTTGTGAGACACCGAACGGGTCTCTGATCAGGGTGCAGCACACCCCGTCTGCAGAAGGGTTACCCTCTTTTTGTTAATTTAAGCTATTACAGCATGTTTTTTTAAAGGAAGGCTATTCAGTTCAGCATCCGAGTGTGTGAAGTCACTGTAGCACAGAAAAAGTGCTGGACCGTGCTTAAGGAGGTACCTCGGGGTGACTTTGGATACTTGAACACTAGTAATTTTTAATAAATTCGGGTTTTTATTTTTTTTGTAAAGTGGGATGACAGTGCCCCTGTACTGAAAGGAAATGTGGTTTAAATGGAGGGAAAAAAAAAAAAAAAAAGGAGGGAGCACACTTAGCGTATGTGGAATAAGTTCTGGGACTGCACCTTCAACACAGGTGGCAAAACGTAACTTGTAAGCAATTTACATAAGGAAAAATAAGTGCTAGTAGGGCCAAGCAATGTTCCTACTCGCAGTAGCTGTTCAATTACAAAGTGAATTAAATTAACGCACATCATCGTAACTCTGGCGTGTTCCTGGCTGAGTGTGTTCGACTTTGCAACTTTAATGTCCTTTTTATGTTGGGTTCTTACATGATATTTATGTTGTTCTACTAGATGTGTTCATGGTTTCTTTTACAGCTTAGTATAGCATTGCATTTTGTAAAGGCTCCTTACAAATGGGGAATTGCAGCTTTAAAACCAAATTTTGTGTCAAACACTAACAATTTGTTTACGGGGCGCGTGTATGTGTGCGTGCGTGTGTGTGTGGTTTTTTTATTTCTTAATTCCTAAGTCCTACTCATATGTCTCAAAAATAGTCCCTGGGTCTTATTAAAATATATCCTTTTTTGTTTAGGTTGAGTTCAGTTTTTACAGAATGCTTTAAGCAACCTGGAAAACATGTAGTTTTGTTAATTTAAATAAAACATACAATATTGTGGATTTGTTGTTGGCCTGGTTCACGGGCTGAGAAATCACAGCTCTTCTGCTGTGATCGTGCTTGTTTGTATTTGATCTTTTACTTCAGGCAGCTGCAAGTCGTACGACTTGTTGCTGGGGAAAACACTTGACTCACCTGGACAATTTACTCTCTCCAAATGCTTTGCGGTGCAGAAACGCGGTACTTTGGTGTTTTTTGACCTTTAAAACCTTTTTCTTTGAGACTCAGTTCTCGGCCTCATTTCACAGAGCCATTTCCACCTTGTCTGGAGCATCAGTTACAGCTCCCGTGGGACTGGGACCAGCAGGACGAGGGTGTGAGCCCCCCCATTTCCCCCCAGGCAGCTGAAGTCTGTTCCCACAGTGGGGCAAAATCTGGGTTTTCCTTCGGGCTCCGTCCCCCGGACTTGTCACACCTTGGCTGTGAACTCTGCACGTTGGCTGCTACCCCACCGCGACGTCAAGATTTTGAGAGTCCTCCATCTGCTGCTGTATTCAAAAGTGCTGCCTCTGGCTGCTCCCCACGTTGTCTTTCTGTCTATAATCCAGCGGGGGGGAGAAAAAAAAAAAAAAAAATATGTTTCTCAGGGCTTGTACTTAAGGAGTAATGGAAAATTTGATGACAAGAGGGGTAAGTACAACAGCAACACCTCGAAGTTCCCGTTGTTGCAATATATTGCAATATTCTGTGGCAATATGAGCCTTGATAAAAGGGCCCGTGAGAGGGAGGGGAGCGGGGCTGCGAGGGTTGTGGCGCTGGCTCTGCGGCAGCCTGCGTTGGCGACAGCGAGGAGCTGGGGCTGCTCAAAGTCGAGCCTAGAGGCTGTGCAGCCCTTTCAGGACCTAATGAATTTCAAAAGAGCAAATTCATGAATTTTAAAGAACTGTAAAACCGCTGCCACCCTCCCACACGCCTTCTCTTCCCAGGTTTCCTGTTCAGGCTCTTGTCGGCTGGGCCCCGGCCGGTCTTTGGTGCCCTCTGCTGCCAGCTGGGCAGGGGGAGAGGGGACCGGCACCCCCGCACCCCAAAAACCACATACTGCGGGGTTTGGGTGGGAAGGGACCTCAAAGCCCCCCCCAGTGCCACCCCCTGCCCCGGGCAGGGCCCCCTTCCCCCAGCCCAGGGGGCTCCCAGCCCCGTCCAACCTGGCCTTGAACCCTTCCAGGGAGGGGGCAGCCACAGCTGCTCTGGGCACCCTGGGCCAGCGCCTCACCCCCTGCACAGGGAAGGATTTCTGCCTTAGATCTAACCTAAATCTGCCCTCTGGCAGTTTAAAACCATCACCTCACAAATAAAGAGTCCCCCCCCCACCTCTCCTGTCCCCCCTTTAAGCCCTGGGAGGCCGCTCTCAGGGTCCCCCCGGAGCCTTCTCTTCTCCAGGCTGAACCCCCCCAACTCTCTCAGCCCGGCCCCCCAGGGGAGCTGCTCCAGCCCCCCCAGCATCTCCGTGGCCTCCTCTGGCCCCGCTCGAGCAGCTCCGTGTCCTTCTGCTGTTGGGGGCCCCCGAGCTGGCCCCAGCACTGCAGGGGGGTCTCCCCAGAGCGGAGCAGAGGGGGAGAATCCCCTCCCTGGCCCTGCTGCCCCCCCTGCTCTGGCTGCAGCCCAGGGCACGGGTGGGTTCTGGGCTGCCAGCGCACGGGGCTGCCTCACGGGCAGTTTTCCCCCCACCAGCACCCCCAGTCCCTCTCCTCGGGGCTGCTCTCCAGCCAGTAATGTGGGAAATCTGCTTATGCCTGGATAGTCCCTATTACCTGCAAGTTGCTGCTCATGGTCAGAGCTGTCCCAGGAGCTCTGTGCAACTGGGCAGAGGCACAGTAAGGAATGGTAAAAACTACCTGGGTGTTTAAAAGGCTACCTGGTGTTGCTGTGAGCGGCCAAAGGTAGTAGAAGGGAAATGAGTTATGACAGACTATTGTGGGTGAGCTGGGGACCGCAATTTTTGAGGTCAGCAAATGGTCTCTGGTTGGAACAGTTGGGACTGTTTTTCTTATTGGACTGCTTCCTGCGTTTTCTTAGAAAGTCTGGGACCACAGTCTCTTCCTGCTCTAAAACTAGTTTGTGACTGAAGAGCAAAGCAAGGAGCTGCAGCAGACTCCAGCACAGCCGGGCAGCTGTGCCCGGTGCGAGGCGAGGCGTGAGCGTGCAGCGCTGGGCTGACCTGCCTAAAACCAGAAACCTCAGCGTGGTGGAAGGGGTCTTGTGACCCCCCCCACCCCCCAATCTAGGAAAGGCTCAGGGAAGAGCGACAAAAAAAGACCCAAGGATATACGGCTGCATCTCGCCGCAGGCCGACTGGCCACAAGCCCCAGCAGCAAGGCCTGCGGGGCGGATCTGGCTTCAGTCGGGTTTCCCAGCTTAAAAATGGCAGGAGCAACTTGTGACTGGGTGAGTTGGGGTGTCCCAGCGGCGATCCAAGCCTGTCCCCCTGGTCCCGTGGTGCTGTCAGCACCGGCTGGGGAGAGGGAGGTGCTGGCATTTTCTCCTTGTCCTTTTTAAACCCGTTCCCAGCAGCCCCCAGACAATTACTATGTTGGGGGGATGCTGAAACACGCCCCTTCTCCCACCACAAATCCTGTAGCCCAAGGCTTTTGTGAGGGATTTCATGACAATGAAAAGAAAGGATCGGCTGTACTGCTGGGGAAAGAATCGCGGGAGACTGAGCTGCAGGAGATGAGCGGTGCAGAGCTGGGGACTGCCGCTCACGCCTGCCCCGGTTCTCGTTATAACCGACTGTCACTCCTGCTCTCAAAGATGAGACACAGTCAGTGCGTTTTTACTGGGGTAAAATAAGCAATAAGGAGCAACAGATTTATTTTTTTGCAGGATTTTGCTCTATGGTTGGCACACAGACGTAGGTCACAGGTCTGCTTTCCTACTTAGCACCTGACATTACAGTGCAGAAGAGATGACAGCTTTTAGATTTCTCCCCTTGTCAGAGGCTATTATAGGAAATCGATACAAACTCCAGGCTCCAGATCTAGAGTTTTAAATGAAATACAAAATCTTATCACGGCTATAATTGTTGGCACCTTCTGCCTCTCCACCTCTGATACGTGCAAGAGGAAAGTCTGGAGCTGGTGCTGAGCAGGGCCTGGCGGGAGATGGGGCTGGCTGGCTTCCCAAATCTCTGCGGATTTCGAGCGGGCGGGCGTCTCGGCGGGTTACCCCTCCTCGCTGCCCTGACATGAGAGCCCATGCTCCCTGCTGCGGGCCAGGTGCTGCTTTCTGACGCAGCTGAGCTGACGTGCGAGGGCTCCATGCAGTGAATTCCTTGCTGAGACCGTTTAAATATTGTCCTATCCTTTGGATGTTTCATTATCTCGAGCCAAGGGAAGTTTATATCCATTATGATAGCAGGCATTTGTGTTTTCTTCTATTTTTTTTTCCATCGCCGTTCTGTCGTGCTTAAAGCCCTCCAGAGTTTCCAGAGGAAGGGCACCCTTCCAGACAGAGATGAGGCTTGTTCATGAGATGGATGTTACGTCTCAAAAATAGATAAGCCACTCTGGAACATTTTCTAATAAATATTTTACAGGCTGAACTGCACTCCCAAGTATCAGCATCACTGGGAAGAGACATCCTTTCTGATAAGCGATATGCACCAGGGACACACATCACTCTGCTCTAATCATAATTTATGTAATTCCAGAGGAAAAGCCTTTTTTTTCTGCCTTCAGCTGCCGTGTTGTACATCTCCACAGGAACTGGTGACACTCAAAGCAATATTAAGAAGATGGCTGTACTGACCATGAATATCAAGCTCTGTCTCCCACAAGAGAAGGAAGCCTCGGCTGGCGCCGGAGGAAAAGCAGTGGAAATAAGTGGAAAAAAAGCAGTGAGGACACATCAGGATGGGTGCCTGTTCCCAAGCCTTGGGGTGCCGTGGTCCCCGCTGTACCCCAGGTCACTTGGACATCCCCCAGCAAAACCCTGAGGGCCTTTGGGAGCTGTCAGTGCTGTGCCTCAGCGGTACCCAAAAGTTGGACATTTTAACTTCAGGGCAGAACTGGAGTTCACAGAACATCCTCTGTAGTGGTGAAGGAAGTCAAATACATCGGTTTCTAATTCAGAATTGCCCGAAGCGCCCATGTTCTGGCCCAATTTCAGCCTGGCTGCTGCTCGCTGTTGTGGTCTAGGTAAGGATAGGTTGTCCGGGAATTCACCTGGGAGCTGAGGGCTGTCAAACCTTAAATGAAGCCTGTTTCTGGGGTGCCCCATCCGTGCTCAGGAGCCGGCACCCCTCACTCCTCCTCCTTTCCAGGACCAAGCGCAAGGCAGACGGCGGCGGGGGCTGTATGCGTGGGCCTAAGACAAGGCTCCCCCTCCAACCCCAAAGCAGTGGCCCCTCGTGATTTCAGCCACGCAGCTCCAGGATGAAGTTAAGAGCAGACCCTGCAGACTCTCTCCCCTCCAAAGGAAACCAATGAAGCTTGGCGGGGTGTCCCCCACGCTTGCTAAGCGGTGGGAAAGGGGGATTTACTACCCTGAAGATGGAGAGAAAAGCAGTGAGGAGCACTGCTCGGGCTTGGTAACCTGGGAAAGTACGTTCTTGTGCAATCCCTGCAAGTCCCCAGGGAGTCCTGACACAGCAGAAACAATCTCTGGCAAAATCACTACAGAAGAGGGATCTGATTGTCTTCACCCGGCCCTTCTGCGGGTTCCCACCGCTGTCCTGCCCCAGCTCGCAGCTCCACACGTTCCCAGGGCAGTTTTGGGGGGCAGCAGCAGGAGCAGGCAAAGCAGCAGGCAGTGCCTCGCCCCCCCCCCCCGCCACCGCTCCATCTGTGCTCTGCCTCCTGGGGCGGGGGGGGGGGGGGCTCTCACAAACAGCTGATTTCCATTTGAAATTTCCATTTAAAATTTCTCTGATTGCTGTCAGCTCCAGCCAAAGCAAACCCTGATGGGCAGCAGGGCACCGAGCCAGCATCCCATGCCCAAATCCCTCCCAAGACAGAGGTACAGCACAGGGCATGTCTCTCCCCTTTCCATCCTTTCTCCAA